GAAAAAAAATGCCTTTTCAATGACTCAACGTCAGCTGAGCTTTTGTTTGTTCATTTGTGTTTTAATCTTCCTACTTATTCATGTCTTATATGTCGCTATTTATTTTACATTGACTCAATAAAGTAACCATCGTAATCGATGTTCCATTGCTGTTTGTTACCATTGCCTTTTTCCCCCGTCCGTTTTTTTTTCTTGCTATTTTTGGATGTTAAGATGGAGGTGTGTTTATTTAATCCAAAGAGTGAACCACTGCTGGTTGTTTTTTGTTTGACGTATACCATACAAAGATCTAAAGAAACAGATGAATATTTTGCCATAAAGTCTGTTTTGTATGATTATTTTGATTCCGTTGATGCCACTTCTAGATACACCAATGTTGTCTTGAAAATTTTACTCGTTTGTACTGCCCAAAAATTGACTTACCGATTCACTTTTAATATTTAGCGTTATTTTAGGGAGGCGGCGAAACTAATGCATTATTGTAGACAAATAGTTTTGGTATTTTTTTTGGTAACTTTGTTTGGTCTTTGTCGATCGGAACTTCATGGTGACAATGTTTGCACCGGCGAACAATTGTAAGTTAGCTGATTCCTTCATGCGTAACACTGGTATTCTGCGCATGTTCCGTTTAACGGTTTCGTTTGATATGCTGGGGAATTGTTAAGATATACTACTCACTTGCAACCGTAGCACTGTTGTAGCTTGTTTGGAGAAGAACCCTGTGGAAGTCTGCAGCGTATTTTTTGCTGAACTAATTTCCATCTTAAATTTGCTGCCGGGTTTTGAAAAGAAAACAGTGCAGATTTTGAAAAGAGTAGAAAGAAAGAAAAATCATTTTTCATCAAGACGGACATTAATAGTGTGTTGCAGGAAGGACGAAATAATCTTAGTAAAACAAGAGCAAAAAGTTTTACTGACCACTTACGAAAGATGTCTTGATATCAGGCAGGGTTTCAAGTGCAAAGTTCAGAGGTATAGCATTCGAAAATAATGAACTACAAACAATCTGTTATTTATCTATCTGTTTATTTATTTCTCAGGACATTTTGAATTAAGATTAGCTTTCTTCAACATAGATAAATTTTACAGAGAGGGTACTAAAGTTCATTATAAAGAAACTCCGAAAAAAACGACAGAAAAAGTACTTCAGTGTTGTTACGGCTATTATCCGACGGAAAACGAAACCTGCATAGGTACAGCTGTTAGTCATTTTGCGTTCTTTACGTGTTAAAATCTCAAATAGTGGCCCAAACTGTCGGTATTACAAATCATATCACTCTGTTAAATTTATAGCCAGTGCTACCTTTTTCAGTTACACCGATAGTGCTTTATAATCTGTACGTAAATGGTTAGAACAGAAAATAGGGTAACTGTTGTACTTTATTTCTAGAGATTGTTCTGCGCAGAGAAATGTTGTCAGGGAAAATAGCTTCCTATTAACTGCTTAAGACACATATTACGTTAATATCGCATTAACGTTGTTCTCCATGAGTGATTTTAATTGCTGTTTGTTCTAGAGACTAAAATAATTTAGAAAACTTCATTGTGGCAGTTTTTTGTAAATTTAGCTAAAATTTCCGACTAATTGTAGGAAAGTTCAAGCGCTGCTCGACAAAATTTGAAGAAAATACGTGTTTTTGAAGTTTTTTGTAGAAATTTCTTTTTGTGAAAATATTGTTTGTGCAGTAAATCCAAGCTAAAAACTTCCCCGTCTTTTTTTAAAGCATATTTTCAAATGCAAAAATGTCTTTTATACCCGAAAGTTTATTTTAATGTGTTTTTTTTTATTTCTTCGATTGACTGGCAGTAATGGTTTTGAAAAATACAAAAGAATATTGAATTAGAACACCAGATTAACGCTCTAATCATCACAGTTGTTCAAATAGGTCTTTCTGGGAAGTAGTTCGGTTGTTTTTTGAATATAGGGTACTTTTGTTTTTCTTGAGACATATTTGAAATATTTCTTGTTTTACTCTTGCCTTTTTTTTAATTCCAGTAACGTGAGACCCTAGTGTACTTGAAAGTCTCAGTTAATTCGTGTACTTTTCTTGATGGATGAATGAACTACACTGCTTTTAATCTGCCCTTGAAGTTTCGTTATTGTACAGTTGCAGTATTTATCGTTGGATGAGATAGAATGCCTTCATACTAAATTTAGTGTCTGTTGCTGATTCTACTGCTGGTGTAATGTTTTTGCGTAGGTAGTTTGCTGATAATACTACTTTATGGTAACGCTTAGAACTTAGGATTACAGGTTTAATACCGCCAAAAAAAGTGAAAATTTGTGAGGGAATTACAAGAAATAGAGATATAGCAGTTTTAACCGTTCTTGATTGAAACTCTTGAGATCTAGTTTTTTCAATTGGGCTGTTAACATAACAGTTTACAGTATAATTGTATTTAGGACGACAAAGTAAGAATGAGAAGAGAAAAATCTTGTTTTAAATTTGTTCTTTGTACCCTCTAACTCCTGTAAAAAAAATCCTTCAAAAGAAATTTTTTCAAATGTTTATCTTTGTTTTATACTTTTAAAGCCCTACTGATGATGCATAATATGTCATTACTAGTTTACCATCTAAAATTTAGCTCGGAAATTATTGCATAAAACATAGTAGAGGCATGATAGGCTTTTACGTGTTTTTATATTTAAAAATATTCTTTACTGGTGCTTTTTTGTATTCTATATTTATGATAATTTTGCAGCTTGCGAAGAGGGTTTTTTCGGATTCAATTGCACACAAGAATGTAGAAATTGTACGGAAGAGGAAATTTGTCATCATCGTTTTGGTTGTTGTAATCCGACAACTGAAGGTTGTGGTTTACCAAGTAAGCTGATTTGTTATGTATATTTAATTGTCAATTTCAGATAACTGATTTTTGGGTAAGTTGGTTTCTTATGACGATTAATTTTTTCAAGCAGCTGGAAAAGCCTTTAGTGAACAGAACTTCTTTATGATTTGAAACTGCTTATTTTTTTTACAGGAAGTGAGCTATTTCAACATGTGCAGAGGAGCGAAAATCAGTGGATGATACCCGTTCTAATTGCGTCAATTTGTGTTGCAGCTATTCTACTACTGGGACTCATATTTTATCGTAAAAAGTACATGAAAGAAAAAGATCCAGATCTTCCGACTTTGACGTAAGCTACTGTGTTGTTTTTGCTTTCATAATCAAAAATTACCAAGTGAAAACCGCTACAGCTTCTAACGCTGTTTTTTTTATTTCAATTCTTTCGCTGTTTAATCATGCCTAACTGATTTTGCAGTAAGGATTCTCTTCCACTGCTCATTTTATTAAAGGTATCACCCACACGCTAAAGGATATGCACCTCCAGTTGATGAGTATCGGGAATTTAATAATCCACTTTATCGACAGTCTGCTGTCGAAATTGCTGCTAAGGCTGAGGCAGGTTATGCAGACTTGAAGAATAGGGGGCCAGTACGAGAGGAGGCTCCTCAAAGTATGGAAATACTTTAGTTTCTGGTTATTTCAAACAAATGTGATGTTTACAGACATGATGTACTTGAATTTTCTTTCAAATTCTAACAACTTTTGTTTTATATTTGATTTAATAATAGTTGCCTTGATAAGATTTTGCTTGTTTTTGCCTTGTCCGTATTTCAACAGCAATAATGAAGAATTTTTTTCAGATGAGTATGCAACGCTGGACGAAGTGAGTGAAGTGACATCTCCAGGACCATCCAGTAGGGTCCCTTTAATGCACGATGCAAGTTTGTGTTATGCACTACTAACATTTGGTTATTTAACTTTAATATCACATCGAGGAGTTTGCTTAATTTTAAGAAATTTTTGTAATACTGTTCGAATTAATTGCTAAGAACTTCAAATTAACTACTTTCTGACTTTGATCTTTACATCAAAGTGTGCGGTTTTAAAACAACAACAATTGCACTTCTTTTCTAAAGGATTTTTTGGCCAGATTTGTCCTTTATTGCGGCATGCCTCTCTTTCAATTTAGGCTATTTTTTGCTTGTCTTTTACAGAGCACAAATTCTAGCACTAGCTTAAGACACTTCCCCGCAATTCAGGAATTTTTTTTTGATTTTATCAAAAAGATTAGTCTTTAAGAGTTTCAAGAATAAGTGCGAGGTTTTCGTGTAGCTCATTACTAGTAACAGTCTGGCTCAAAGAACTATTAGTAGTTTGGCTTAAAATTACTCATTTTTCATGACGAGTCTGTTTTTTATTTTTTGCTGCACTTTTGTAGATAAGGTAGATAGCTTACTAAATAAATCTTTTTTTACTAGAAATTAATTTGAAGTTCCTCGATGTGGTATGCATGCTGACGCTTTTCACACTCTTCTGCTTACGGGTTTTAGTAATGAAGTTGGGTTTCTTTTGGGTGCATGTTGTATTGGGGTTTTACGGGATAGAGGAATTTTTATAAAATAACATTTGCCAAGACTTAGGGGCGTTTAACGGAATTTGAAAAGTCGATGAGTTAACAATTTTGGGCCAGTCTTATATACGGTTAAATGTTATAACATGTTTTCGTGAGGGCTTGCGTGGTGCAAATAGGCGGTTATAATAACCGGTCAAGTCTTCTTATTTGATTTCTCAACTGTTATCAGTGATCTTGGAGGATGCAAGCTTGGCTGTTGCTTTCTGTTGATATCTAACATTTTCAAGGAGCAGTGTTTTATGAGTTTTATTTCCTTAGTCTTACAGTAAGGGTTTGTGAATAGTTGTTGAGGTTTTGGATATAGTACCACCTTCCTTTTATCATCAAACGTTGTAGAGTCTGGGTTTTTTAAGCAGAGTTTTATTTTATTTCTTTTCAGCCAAATAGGAGAAGTGGATTTAATTTTGCTTTTTTTTGGAATAGATTCAATTTTAAGCGTAATTTTTGCTAGGTGGTTGTTGAGGTTCGGGAAGGAGCGTTTTTTGTAGCTGAACATTTGGGTACTCTATCCAGCTCATGTACTGATGCGCACATTTTTTTTTTGAAATACTGCTATTTTTTGTTTCTCTAAATAGGATTTTGATTTTTAGACAAGTACGAGGTCCCCTATCGACCAGTCCCGTCTCCAGAATGCAGAGTGAATGAAAATGAAGAAAACTTAAAGAAGGAATCCACATGAGACGGCAGTGTCTTGGTGCTCTTGAATTTACCGTTCTTGCCTTGACCTTTTTTTTGTCCTATTCCCAACAGCAGCTTTTCTGATGGTGACAGATCCTTACGAACTTTCTTTAGTTTTAACTTCACATTTGGGAGTTCTATCGTGACTAACTACAGGTCACTATTTTTAGTTAGCATCAGGAAGTTGTTACTGTACATTTATTGAGTTAAATACGGGGTTTTAGTTATAAAAGATATATTTGAATTGTATTATTACTTGCTGTAAATATTTATGAATATGTTGTTTTCAACAGATCTTTTAAGTTTAATTTTGACTCGAACGTTAACTTAATAGCATTACAATGAGAACTAACCAAATCGTAGTGTACAACATAAAATACGCGTGGTACAAAAATTTTTCAAAAGCTCTGTTTAAAAACCCACCAAAAAAGTTTTCTGACGGAAGATATTAAGTGTGATGACTTCGGTCTACTAAAGGCATAAGCGTTTTTCGCTTTTTTTTTAGGTTGGTAGCGGCAACTGTTTTGGAATAAATCTAAGACAGTTCTCGCTTATTTGTAATAAAAGTGTTTGTACCATAGTTCTTGTTAATATTACTCTGGAATTGATGTTTGATTTCTTATCTCTTTTGTTGTCTTTGTTTAGGTAATATTCTGCTACTCTGTAAACACGCGATGCTCTCCATCATCGCTGCAAATAGTGTCACCATTTTATAATTCAGTTTTTTCAAAGTACATCCGGTTTCAGTTAAATTTCAAATGTTTCATGGAAACCTTTTATGGAAGAGCACGAGTGAAAAAACACAAAATATTCCCGCTAATATGCCTCCAGTATTTCATTACAGACAATCTAGAGCCTCCTACTAGCAATTTAAAGGTTGCGTCTCACGGGTAGCTGGAGAAGTCTGACACGATTAAAAACGCTAGCAGACTCTTCAAGGTCTCACGATGACTCGTTACTAGACCGTTGCAGCGACGATCTTGAGACTACACCTTCGAGTTCAGACGACGACCCGTTCCGTCTGTAACTAAAAGCAGAGACGACTGGCACGAAACCACCTCACGTCGCCTAAGGTCGTTACGTCAACAACCCTCCTAAATCCATATTTCCAGTTGCCTGCAGACTTCTATTCGAATAACCCTTGCCACCTAATCCCGGTGCCAGAATTCTGCCCCTCCCTTGTTCCAACTACAAAGACAACTCACAACACTTAATCTTTGCGTCACCGTGAAGAAACTGTTGA